GAATAAAATGACTTAAAATACCTTGTTCATGAGAGATAGTATCTCCTTTTTATTTTCATTTTCTAAAGGAATTAAATAAATAAGAAAAAACATTCTGGAGGGAAAACTTGGCAGGAGTTGATCTAGTTGGGAAGGGAGGGGGTTCAGGGTAGGATTGTTGCTCCTCCCTTCCTAGACAATGTAATACGGGCTTTGAAATGGCCCGTTATTATGGTTTTATTAACTGTTAAGCTAAATATTTATATTACAAGAGAGCTTCCGTATATTTTCCTGCTGTAAAAGTAATCTGTTGATTGTAAAAGTCAGTGCTTTTTGCAAAAGTCCACTAGAGAAAAAGATTTTTAAAGAATTTTCTTATGCATTACTACATTTAAAACAAACTTTAATCTACACTATGTAATATGGCTTTCACTTAAGTTTTAATTCTCATTATTTCTTAGTATCTCACCTTGGAAGAGAGTGTGGCCCTTCAGGAACTGTTGTCTGGCTGTTTAACATGGGTACATTGTTTACAGACCAGTTGTTCTGTGAGAGCGCAAGACTGGCAATGCTAACTTCAAGGAATTTTCTAAAGAAAAAAATAAAAACATTTCAATTAATTAACACTGAATATTTCTTGCATTTACCTATTTTTTGAATGTCTTATTACTTAAACAATTATCATGTTTATCTAACATAATGCAAAGGTTAATGGATGCTACATGTATCTTTACTTTAAAATTTAACTGACTGAAAAATGTCTAATTGACATTCATGACAGCTACAAAATTTTTAGAGTAATTCCATTCAAATGGTTATGCAATATTTGGAAAATGTTCTCTGAGCTTGATATTAAGAGGATGTCCAAGTTTCTTTTTGATGATATCTATGAAGTCTTTAGAGACAAAAATCTTTCAACAACTTATTGGAATTCCTATGGGCTCTAATTGTACCCCTTTACTGCTTTTGATCACTGATCACTGAACTGCATGTAAAATTATTTAAAAGCTCCCTAGAAACAATTATCAACTTACACGTTGTTCCTTCATTTCCCTTGAAAAAAAAACACTTTAAAATTCCCTTATCAACTGTGTAAGCAAAGCCTGCAAAACACCATATAGCGGGTGTAAAATTTGGCATTTTGCTCTCTAAAAGGTATGCCAATAATTTTGGCGGACACATAGTTCAATGACTCTGCAAAAGAGAGGAAATTCACATTTTAGATGAATTTCAGTACGTTAAATAAACGTTTGATTACCTTTTTAAGCAAGAGTTGGAGAAAAAACCAATACCAAATGATATATATAACGTTTACCAACAGGCTGATCAAAGTTATTTTTCTTGTGTTCAGTAGTTATAAGCAAGGGTGCAAATTTAGCAATTCAAATTTTAGCGAGCTACTACAAATCTGCTAAAATAAGCCAAAGTTAGCACACCGCTAAAAAATCCTGCTATATGGTATTTGCTAATCTACGACCTGTGATATTTAATTAATGAGGATTATACTTTAACCACTAACATGGGACCATGTGTGTTTGTTGCTGTAATATGTCAATGGTCTCATGCTACAGTATTGTAAACATGAGATCATGCATGTTTAAGAGTGTTTTATATCTATGGTCTCATGCTACAGTTTGTAAACATGAGACCATGTGTGTTTATGACAGTTTTATGTCTATGGTCTCATGCTACAGTTTGTAAACATGAGACCATGCATGTTTAAGATTGTTTTATGTCAATGGTCTCATGCTACAGTATTGTAAACATGAGATCATGCATGTTTAAGAGTGTTTTATATCTATGGTCTCATGCTACAGTTTGTAAACATGAGACCATGTGTGTTTATGACTGTTTTATGTCTATGGTCTCATGCTACAGTTTGTAAACATGAGACCATGCATGTTTAAGACTGTTTTATGTCTATGGTCTCATGCTACAGTTTGTATACATGAGACCATGCATGTTTGTGACTGTTATATGTCTATGGTCTAATGCTACAGTTTGTAAACATGAGACCATGTGTGTTTGTGACTGTTATATGTCTATGGTCTCATGCTACAGTATTGTAAACATGAGACCATGTGTGTTTATGACTGTTATATGTCTATGGTCTCATGCTACAGTATTATAAATATGAGACCATGTGTGTTTGTGACTGTTATATGTCAATGGTCTCATGCTACAATTTGTAAACATGAGACCATGTGTGTTTGTGATTGTTATATGTCTATGGTCTCATGCTACAGTATTATAAATATGAGACCATGTGTGTTTGTGACTGTTATGTGTCAATGGTCTCATGCTACAGTTTGTATACATGAGACCATGTGTGTTTGTGACTGTTATATGTCAATGGTCTCATGCTACAGTATTATAAATATGAGACCATGTGTGTTTGTGACTGTTATATGTCAATGGTCTCATGCTACAATTTGTAAACATGAGACCATGTGTGTTTGTGATTGTTATATGTCTATGGTCTCATGCTACAGTATTATAAATATGAGACCATGTGTGTTTGTGACTGTTATATGTCAATGGTCTCATGCTACAGTTTGTATACATGAGACCATGTGTGTTTGTGACTGTTATATGTCAATGGTCTCATGCTACAGTATTATAAATATGAGACCATGTGTGTTTGTGACTGTTATATGTCAATGGTCTCATGCTACAGTATTGTAAACATGAGACCATGTGTGTTTATGACTGTTATATGTCTATGGTCTCATGCTACTGTTTGTAAACATGACACCATGTGTGTTTATGACTGTTATGTGTCAATGGTCTCATGCTACAGTTTGTAAACATGAGACCATGCATGTTTAAGATTGTTTTATGTCAATGGTCTCATGCTACAGTATTGACATTAGACCATGTATATGTCTATGGTCTCATGCTACAGTATTGTAAACATGAGACCATAGACGTGTTTATGACTGTTTTATGTCTATGGTCTCATGCTACTGTTTGTAAACATGACACCATGTGTGTTTATGACTGTTATGTGTCAATGGTCTCATGCTACAGTTTGTATACATGAGACCATGTGTGTTTGTGACTGTTATATGTCAATGGTCTCATGCTACAGTATTATAAATATGAGACCATGTGTGTTTGTGACTGTTATATGTCAATGGTCTCATGCTACAGTTTGTAAACATGAGACCATGTGTGTTTGTGATTGTTATATGTCTATGGTCTCATGCTACAGTTTGTAAACATGAGACCATGTTTGTTTTTGACTGTTATATGTCAATGGTCTCATGCTACAGTATTGTAAACATGAGACCATGTGTGTTTGTGACCGTTATGTGTGGTCTCATGCTACAGTATAGTAAACATGAGACCATGTGTATTTGTGACTGTTTTAAGTCTATGGTCTCATGCTACAGTTTGTAAACTTGAGACCATGCATGTTTGTGACTGTTATATGTCAATGGTCTCATGCTACAGTTTGTAAACATGAGACCATCCATGTTTAAGAGTGTTTTATGTCAATGGTCTCATGCTACAGTTTGTAAACATGAGACCATGCATGTTTGTGACTGTTATATGTCAATGGTCTCATGCTACAGTTTGTAAACATGAGACCATCCACGTTTAAGACTGTTTTATGTCAATGGTCTCTTACTACAGTGTTGTAAACACAATTAAGACCATGTGTGTTTGTCTGTTCATAGGTGTCAAAGTGTGTTGTCATATTTTCCTCATTGTAAACTGGACATTTTCTTTTTAATAATGAAATAATTAATATCAGGGACCTATATACTAGTAGGTCCCTGGAAATATGGTTATATATTTTTTAGTCAATTTTTATCATACCTGCCTTCTCCATTTTAAAATCTGTTTACAATGCTTCAGAACTCTCACTGCTCCATGGCCCTAAAGACAGAACTAAAGTCTATATTTAAGGTCTAAATTTAAGGCTTGATACAAGTAAAATAATTTCATAATTTTGCAAGGAAACGCTAGGCTTACACTATAACCGGATATGATTAGGGGAAAATAGATGAGAGAACCCATTCCGGTGAGCAATAGCCTCGTTTTGAGTTTGATGAGACCATGGTCTCATAGCCTGTTTCTATAAGTAAATATACCTCATGGAGAGTTCCAACTAAGGGAAACTAAAACTGGGAATATGAGTGGTGGATCCAAAATATTTCAACAATCAACACTCAGACAGAAACTGTACAATTACACCCAACAAACAACACTGTTTCAATGTATTTACATGTACTTTTAGAAACAAGTGCTTATGCAAAAAATATTACAAGCAGGCAATAGGCCTCAATGCTCACCTGAGTCACATTGCCCCTGCTCAATGTTCTTAAGAATATCCTCTTTAACATATGATAAAATCTTACCCATATCATGGTCCCACCCAAACCCTATGGGATGTGATATACCTTCACTTGAATTGACAGCATGGTTGCTTCATTGTCAATGACTATATAACACATTATAGCCTTATTGTTCTGGGAATTTTTTTTAAATACATTTTTTCCTGCATACATGCATTATGATAAATTTTATCCCAGCAGTAACCTTAAGGTCTATAATGTGAAGAAAAAATAGAATCCACACAATATAGGAATATTTTCAATCAAATCAATATGTTTTTAATAAATACTTAGTGTACTTTTTCCTATGCTTATTTTTATGAAAATAATATTCACACAATATTACATGGTTATACTTTGATCTCATTTTGTGGCCCATCCCTACCTGAATTAATTTTTTTCTGTAGGTTTTCCAAAAGTACTGGGGTCCATTGACTGCACACATGTTAGAATCTCAACCCCTAAGGAAAATGAAGCAGATTATGTAAATAGAAAGGGTTTTCACAGTTTGAACATCCAGGTAACAACTACATGTTTATTATAATATTATTCTTATAGTAGTAATTAAATTAATTACAAAATTTAAAAGAAGATGTTCTGTATTATAATGCACATAAAGTTTAATTTCCACTGGCATTTGTAAGCAATACAAATATTTTTTTTTTAAATCTTTTTCAGATGGTTTGTGATCCTAATTTTAGAATAACATCTTTGTGCGCCAGGTGGCCTGGCAGTACTCATGACTCCAGGATATGGAAAAATTCAACTTTATTCCAAATGTTTGAAAATAGTATGTGAAACATGCATACTAAATCAATTAACCATCCCTATACCACTAGTGAATTTATCCAGGGGAGTGATTGGGGAGGGATATGGCCCCTTTAGAATTTTCTGAACAGTTATTAAATAGATAAAGTTAAGATCTGCTTGTCTAAAACATTCCAACTCTGGGGAATTAATTTTTATTTGATGGGGGGGGGGGGGCACTCCCCCTCCTAAATCTGTCCTTTTATACTATTTTATATTAAAGGGTAACTTGGTAAAAAAAAAAAAAACAAGACCATGCATATGACTAGATTGCACTAAGTCCTGTCAAATTTGCTAACTTTTTTGTAGGAGCCCATGATGGTCTTCTTTTAGGAGATTCTGGCTACCCTCTATCAAAGCACTTGATGACCCCATATTTGACCACACAGGCACAGGCTGAAGAAAGATTCAATGAAAGTCTCTGCCGAACCCGTGTTCTCATTGAACAAACATTTGGGATCCTTAAGAGAAAGTTTCAAGCTCTTCACTTTGGAATAAGATCTACACCAGAGCAAGCAGTTGTATACATAACTGCATGCAGTATCCTGCATAACATTGGGATAGAAAGGGGAGACACTATAGTGTCCAGTGATTGCAGGGATATTAACATTAGAAACTGTCTGCAGCAAATTGTGAATGCCAATGGCCCTGTTCCCCCTGCAAGAAACGAGGGTATTTCCAAACGGATTGCCATCACCAATGGTTTCTTTTAAGAAAGACATTTTGAGGAAAACTAACAAATTTTCCTTTTCACTATAAGAGCAAAAATTTTTTGTGACTCAGCAGCTTTCGTCTCGGGCATGTGCACCAGTAATTATTAACACACATCTCCCCACCACCACCACCCCTCTCTCTCTGTCTTGACACATCTATCACACATCACACAAGGGTTCTTTAAATGTTATCTACAATACATGTACATGTATTAACACCACTAACCCCATAGATCAAAACAACTAAAACCTGATGCATGATAAAGATGTCACTTAAAATCAAAATTTAATTTTGTCTACATTTCTCACAATGATAGTACATGTACTAATGCATTTTTTTTTTCAAATACTATAGAAGCTGACTAAATATACATGATAATCATATTTTAAATTTACATTTCATAAAGAAAACAAGGATAGGAGGTCTGAATATCTAAAACAAGTTTCTGTTTTTTCAGTACTAAATGTCTTTTTTCAATGCAAGAACCTCCCTTTCTTCTTTAATTTTAAGAATTTCCTCTTCTAATCTTTTATTATCCAAAATTAAGTTTGCCTCTTCTAATTCATCAATCTTCCTTTTTCTGGATTCATTACCTGAAGACGTTAAAAAATAATTATCAGAAATGCATATAAATATATACACAGTTAGGAGTACTACATACATGTCTGTGCTAATCCATTGGATGAGATTATTGTTTCATATTTTCTTCTTTGCTTAATTTAGTTAAGAAAACTTATAAAACTGTTTATGTTAAAAAGAAAAATAAGTGGAGGTGTTAACATACAAATTAGGTTGCATTGGTCATATTTGTGTTGGAAAGAGAGAGAGAGAGAGAGAGAGAGATTATCTTAATTATTTGGTGTAGTACATATGTATGTGTAGAAGTATTTGACATAAAATTGAAAAAAAAAATATACAGACCTCTCTTTTCTTTTTTTTGTGATGATTTTGTTTGTCTTCCTGAATGAAAAAAGAAAAGCATTATAAAAATGTATTGCAATTTTTTTTTAAATTAAAGCTTAATGACTTTAATTTTTCTTTTTTATGAACTGAAGGTTATCACTGTGGAAACAAAATTGATACAAACAAGAACCCTATAAACACAACAACCAAAGTTTTCTTCATTCACGTGAAAACCCTGTTACACATTGACGCCCCCTTTATGGCAGCTTATGACCAAGGATAAAGATTTTCAAAAGTAGGTAAAAATCCGAGGTCAAGGTCATGATTTGTGAGGTCAAAAACGTAGGTCTTGTCACAAGGAATACATGTGAAATATGAAAGCCTTAACATCATTTGTTTAAAAGTTATGGCCAAGTCTAAAGTTTTTGTGGACAAGCAAACCGACAGACCAAAAGATACTTAGTATATGCCCCGAATCTCTCAATCTTGAATCATGTGGGCATAAAAAAGAAACCAATAAGCCAGTAGCCATGGGCAACATCTCTCACCTTATGTTTTTGTTCCATTTGGTTTTCAAGGGAATAAGGAATAATCTTTTAAAATATTTTCTTCCAAAGAACAGCAGGGCAAAGGTGACTCATGGGAGTGTTGTAGCCCATGGGCCTCTTGTTTAATCATCTCCCCTACAAACTTTAAAAGAATCTGGCCCTTCATTTAAATAAATTTGAATTCCACCTAACAGTACTTGGTGCCAAGTTTACTTGGGATTGCAAAGACTACGCACATACTCTGCCATATGTCACATATGTAATACTCGTTTTACCTTGCAAAGAACTGGAGCTGAATTCCAGAGATTTTGATGTACATGGGTTTTCAGTCGATGTACTTTTAACTGAAATCAAAGAAATACTAATTGTAGCTACAGCAATTAGTGATGTACCAATTAATCGATTAAATCAATTATCTAATCAAAATGGTCCCCGATTATAGGTATTCAATTATAATTTTGATAATCAATCAAACAAAATATTAGTTAATTTAGGAATGACTCTAATTCTTGGCCAAATTATTCGAGTATAACCTGGTTTGGGTCAGTTTACGCTTTATAATCCGCGAAGCGGATTATAAAACAGGAATTCTTGGCCAAATTATTCGAGTATAACCTGGTTTGGGTCAGTTTATGCTTTATAATCCGCGAAGCGGATTATGAAACAGCGTAAACTGACCCAAACCAGGTTATACTCGAATAATTTGGCCAAGAATTAGAGACATTCCTTATAATTTAATTTTAAAATCATTAAATAACTATGGGTGTAAAATTTCGTTGCTTTTTATTAGTTCAAATTTGCCGCTCAATAATACAACCTTAGTAACGGAAGTAACGGAAGTGATGGGAAGCGAGGGGAGGTAAAAACTGATACAGAGGCCTAGCAGCCTTGCTGTTTGTTTACATGTGGTAAGATCGAATTATTGTTTGAAGTTAAAGGTACATTTATCAAATCTGGAATTTTCCATGAATCCCGAGGACTGGAAATGAGAGGATTGTATGGATACAGATGATTCAGCTCGTTGTCAGGGGGGGGGTGTCCCCATACCAAACCAGGTTATACAGAAATAATTTGCGTAGCTTTTTGGATATTAACCAATCAGAGGCTAGAATACAAACAAAATTAAACTATAAGCAATTATTCCTATGATTTTTTGATTCAGTCTTCTCTGGATTAAGTAATAATAAATGAATCCAATGATACAAAATACATCAAAAGTGCATTTTAGACATCACTCAATATCAATCATAGAGAATCCGATTATTCCGATTAATTGATTATGAAAAAAATTCCAACTGCCCATCACTAAGAGCATCATTACATGTACATGTATCCTTTATATCAACAGGTGTAGTGATACTGCTGTGAAAATCCATTCTTATTTCATAGCTATCACAATATGATGTATGCATTACATATATATATATATATATATATATATATATATATATATATATATATATATATAGATATATATATATAAAAGCAACAATAAGTTAATTCATCTGTTACTATTAACTGAAGTTATTCTTAAAATCTTTCTATAAATTTTAATGATTTTATAGACACAAAAGGATATGTACTTCAGTAATTATGAAATATTGCAGCATTATTTACCTTGTTGGGAATTTTCAGCTGTTGATTCAGTATCTGCCATATCTGCCAACAATTCTGAAGTATGTGGTGCTATAAAATTAAAGAAATGTCTGAGATAATTAACTTCATTTATGATACTCTTTAAATCTATAAGAAAAAATTCACTATATAGCTATAAATACCAAGATATTAATAATCCTAATTCTTGTAATTTCAAAAAATAAACTGATGTTTGAGATTGAAATTATTATAAATAACACTTAAGTTGTTTATTCAACTTGATGATTTACACCATAACTTTTTCTGCCTTTTATTTCTTTCTCTTCCAAAGATTCAATGTGATGTTTCATTCCCATGCATAACTAACTTGTTAACCATACCATCTGTATCGATCCCTCCTGGTACACCACAAAGATTTGGTTCTCCATCTGCAAGGTGGAGAAATGTTTCCTCTCCCTGTGTAAGTGGTGGAAGAGGGGGGCCACCACCAGTTTTGGGGTGCTTTAACCCATCAAGCTTTTCTTTGCCTTTAATTAAAAGATATAACTCAGAAAAGAAAACAAGAGGCCCATGGGCCACATCGCTCATCTGAGTAACTTTGGCCATGCTGTTCATTACCAGACTTCCCCCCTTGTAATACCTATTATGGCCCCGCTCTACCCCCGGGGGTCATGATTTGAACAATTTAGAATCTACACTACCCCAGGATGCTTCCACATAAGTTTCAGTTTTTCTGGTCCAGTGGTTCTTGAGAAGATTTTTCCTATATATTTCAATGTTTCCCTATTGTGGCCCCGCCCTACCCCCGGGGTCATGATTTGAACAATTTAGAATCTACACTACCCCAGAATGCTTCCACATAAGTTTCAGTTTTTCTGGCTCAGTGGTTCTTGAGAAGAAGATTTTTAAAGATTCTTCCTATATATTTCAATGTAAAACTTGGATTCCCTATTGTGGTCCCGCCCTACCCCTGGGGGTCATGATTTTAAAAATTTAGAATCTACAATATCCCAGGATGCTTCCACATAAGTTTCAGCTTTTCTGGCCCAGTGGTTCTTGAGAAGAAGATTTTTTAATGACCCCACCTTATTTTTGTCTTTTCTTGATTATCTCCCCTTGAAAGGGGACTTGGCCCTTTATTTTAACAATTTAAACTCCCCTTCACCCAAGGGTACTTTGTACCAAGTTTGCTTAAAATTGGCCCAGTGGTTCTTGAGAAGAAGTTGAAAATGTGAAAAGTTTACAGACGGACGGACGGACAGACGGACAACGGGTGATCAGAAAAGCTCACTTGAGCTTTCAGCTCAGGTGAGCCAAAAATATTCTAAAAAATAAATCATCAAATATTATAATTATTATGCATTTTCAAATATATATCATACGTTCATTTAATCACAGTATAAAATAGAAATATTTCTAAAATAAAGTTTTTAAATATATTATCAAGTTGTTAATACCATTACAATTTTGTTGGAATTCATTCATTTTTCACTGAATTGTGTCAATATATATACATATTATGTGTATGATTGTATTGTTTGTCTATCCTCACACTCTCGCATATTATAAAACATTTGTCTTATTTGCCACCATTGCTAATTTATTAATCTCTTCACAATTTTACAATTGTATTCAGAGATATACATTAATAAAAAACTAATGTATATCTCTGAATACAATTGTAAAATTGTAAAGAGGTTAATAAATTTAGTATGGTTCAAAATGTTAGGTAGTTGCTGTTTCTTAATTTCATTGCATGGAATATTGTACATTGTAAATTAGTCTTCAACATAATTTGTTTTAAGAAAGACCTCAGGGCTGGGCTAATATGATAAACTGATTTACATCTCTGGGCAGAGGACCGTTGATCCTATCCCCAACCACATATTCAATAATTATTCCAGTGAATTATTATTTATGTAAATAGAAAACTGCTTGCTCATGAAAATGAA